GTGCATTTTTGAGCAAGTGTTTAGGGGAAAGTTTGATCGTATCATGCTCATCTAACCTGGGGTTGAAGGGTTTGTACATCCCGTTTTTGTTTTTGGCACACGGTTCTGGAGGGCACTGTAAGTTTTCCTTACATTACCAAAATGCCCGAAAGGGCTTGTGCATTTTGAAAGCCTCCTTGTTTACTTACTGTAAATTAAAACCTTAATTGGCCAACTATGAAAATGCTATTGCCTTTGTACAGTTTTCTCTTTCTTTTGTATTTTTATGTCTATATATATTATCAGTATATAAAATTAGACTAACATATTGCATAAATAATCATATTAGTTGGATTTCCATAATTATGAGCTTTCTCTATCATAACTTGCTTATGGAATTGATGATTCTATGTCTGAGTGTTTTGTACTTTTGATTTTCTTTATAATTTAATTAAATACTTTTATTTTGTGTTAATTTAAGCATAGTTTAAGTAGTCAGACATTAATACTTTCTCTGATATGAAGTGCGGGTTTGAATCTCCATCTCTCATTTTTAATATGTACTAAAAAAAACCTTTATTATGTTTGTTTAAAGCCACAAGTCTTTCCAACTTATCCCTCTCTCGATCTCTCGCCCTACTTAGCATCCCTCACTCTAGATCTCGCTACTTTTTATTTTTTTACTTTGTGTAGGTAATGGTCGGTTAGAAGATGAGAAGTTCAGGTTAATTAGACAAACACCTTGGGTTAGTTATTCATTTTTTGTTCAATCTAGGTAATGGTCGGTTACAAGATGAGAAGATCAGTTTGACCATTGGATTGTTGGGAAATTTGAAATTTATCCTATGTTTTCTTCGCTATAAAACAATAATATGAGCGAATGAGGAAAAATGTTTTTTGACGGTCTTTTTTTGATTATGCAAGATTGGAAAGCTGTGATTGTATAGGGTTTTCTCTACCCTCCGCCTTTAGGTTGTTTTGGCCATTTTTTTTTGTGTTTTCTCTAATATACCCTTTTTGTCTCTTATTATAAAAAAAAAAAGGAGAGAAATTGCTAAAGACTTGTATAGATGCACCTAGTATGAGCTTAGTTTATAGAATAATAGATCTCATTGTTTTCTCTAACGTTTCTTTTTCTTTTTTTTCATTCATAGTATGAAATATTACATAAAGGATAATGAACCCTAAATGCTTGGGGCTATAAAAAGACTTCAATTCAACAAACGATCATTGAGACTATTATTTGTAAAATGAGAGTAAAAAGATTTATACTATTTATTCTATAAAGAATTTGTAAGAGAAGCGTTTGTTGTTGAAGGGTCTTTTGTTCCTTTCCATCCAAAGGGTCTATAGGAAAGCTTTGACGATTCTATGAAACCTCGGGGTTCAAAACTCTTAACAAGTTTTTGCTCCTAGCCCAAATGCCACTTGCCATCTATCCTCTTTAGGACATTTTTTTTTAAAGAAACAATTTCATTGATAATATGAAATTACAAAAGAGATAATAAAGACTCAAAGAGGGTTACATGAAGCATTTCCAATTGTAAAAAAGGAAAGTGTCGGAATAACGGTGAAAAAGAGAACTTTTATAGAGTGACAATTGTGAAGACTAATGAATCAAAAACCCTTTCAAAGGGGAGGTGTCTTTGTCGTGGAAAGTTCGATTGTTTCTTTCTCTCCAAGTTATTCAAAAGAAGGCTCTAACAAAATGCTTCCATAGAATTTCCTTTTCTTTTGTTAAAGGATGGCCATTGAGGGTGTACTCCAGCAGAAGAGGGATGTCATTAGGTAATGCCGTGAACCATCCAAACAATTGAAGAAGGTTTTCCAGATACCAAATGTAAAAGGGCATGTGATGAAAAGATGTGGCTGTGACTCGGATTCTGTCTTACACATTGGGCACCAATGGGGAGAGATAGACATGTAGGGCAGTCTCTTTAGGACACTCTTTGAAAATGCCTCAAATGTTCTATTGAATGTTTTCATTTACAAAAAGAAAGTCTGGGTTCATGTCGTAGTGGAGAGTTTTCTTCTCACCAGCAAAAAAAGGTTTAGCATATTGCATATAACTTTCTTCTTAGTTGTTGCAGTGCTAGAATTCCTTCTCACCTATGTTTCTCTTGAATTGTGGCATTTGTATACTTTAAGCGGGCTTCTTTTGTGGCTTTGTTTCAAGTTTCAATTTGAGTTTGAATCGAGTCTATTTTGATGATTAGGCTCTATATCCGAAGATAGAGATACGCAAGTCCACTTCAAATATCACGTTAGAACAATAAAGTTATAAGCTTTAAAAGACCAAGACCCAAGATGAAAACTGAAATTCTTAAAAAAATTCGAAAACTACAACCAACTTTACCTACCAAACTTTATATTTAGCCTACAATTTATCGAACTAGATGTTATGGATACTATGCTATACCTAACCAAACAATGAAAAAAAAAATTAAACAAAAAACTATCACAGCCACTTTAACTACAAAGTACAACCAATTCCAACTGAATTGCACTTGACATGAATTCCTTCCACAAAAGTTATGTACTATCCTTCAAAAAGGAGAAACCTCACAATGAAATCAAATCAAATCAAACACTAATTTAATATTTCACTAGGATCAAGAAACCCAATCACATGGAAAAATGGTTCAAAAAATAGATTTGAAGTAAGAACTACTCCACAATCTAGAGTATCCCTCTTAGTAAGCAAATTCACTGAATCTCATGAGTGCATATGAATCCACACCCACCCACCCACTTCTTGGTTCTGCCCTTTCAATATTTTCAAACTTGGAACAAATAAAAAGGGAGACAAAATCAAGATTCCCCAATTGGGTCCCCAGTTTTGGCAGCATTAGATTAAGTTAAATTTCACAATCCAAAGATTCCCATTTGGCTCAATGTGATATGTTATTAAGTACAGCCATCATTTGTCTCCACAACAATGGACAGCCTAGCTCAAAAACAATAATATGTTAATATGTTTTTCTTGTTTTCTGTAAAACTGTCCTTTAATGACTGTAACCTATCATTGTTTACTGTCTTTTTCATGGTGGGGGGAAGATAATGGGAGTGGATCCATGTGTCCCATTAAGCCAGTAGAACAATTTGGAGAAGGATATGGATTTTTAGTGTGAATAATATTTAGGTACCTATCTCGATCAACTATCATTAAAAATTTAACAAATAAGGGAGACATACTGCATAAGTTATTTTCATAATTGGGTTGCGTTTTTTTCTTCTTGTTTCTAATGTTTTTGCTTGTAATTTATGTTATTTGTCTTTTTTGTTTGTTGTTGATCTTGTTCGCGCTCCTGGAACTTTTCTGTAGGTTTTTTTTTGTTTTCTTTTGTGCCTTGATCTCGGACTATGAGATATTTTTTTCCTTACAATAAATCTAACTTTTGCAAAAAGGAAAAAAAAATGGTATAAAGATCGAGAGAAAATAGAATAAATAGTTGTCAATTTATTAATGGTGGTAAGAAGATACTACCTACATATTATTTGATCGGGTGGCCACGTGATTTTTGTGCAGTGGGGTTTGCTTTTATCTTCTTTATTACAGTGTGAGTGCTTCCTTTTCATGTGTTGCTTCGTCAAGTTGCACAGAAATATATATGTTGCTCTTCCAAGTTTCCCTTGTTTGGTTGCTCATTTTGCCAATTGGTTTCATAAGCTTCTTGTCTTCACATTTTATACCTATAATTTAGGTTGAATTATAAATTTAGTGAATGAATCTTTAAAAGATCTGTAAATTTTTAATATTGTGTCTAATAGATTCTTGAACTTTAAAAAGTGTTTAGTAGGCTTCTAAACTTTTGATTTTGTCTATTCTAAAAATGTTTAATAAATTAGAGACTTATTAGACATAAAATTATAAGTTCAAAATCTACAAGACAATTTCTAAAATCCCGGGACATATTATTATATGATACAACATTAAAAATTTTGAGGACTTATTAAACACAAAGTTGAGTGATGTATTAAACATTAGTTTGAAAGTTCATAGATCATTTGTTATTTTACTTATAATATATTTAGTGGGAGGTTTATCTTAATTTTCATATTTGTTTCACGTTAAATTATAATCTAGTCCCCAATGAACATGGTTGGTTTTATCTTTTAGTCTCTATAGCTTTTAAAATGTTTCAATTATGCATCTATACTTTTAAGTGTTGATCTAACACCATTACCTAAATATATATATTTTTGAAAGTTAAAGCTTAAGATAAAAATATATATATATATTTTTTTATCTTTTTATAATACTTATGAAGTCTTAGTTGAATATTAAAAGTAAATTACAATCTTTCTAATAACCTTTTTCTCAAGTTTCAAAGCTTGGCTAATATATTGGAAAAAAAATACAATGATATAAATTATTGTAATATACAAAATATACAAATGTATAAACCAAGATGGGGCAAAAATGGAAGAAAATATGAAAGATAAGAGTTTGATCTAATAATTAAGGTGACAAAAACCAGAGTTTGAGGGACCAACTTCTCCTTCTCCCACACATATATAATATATTTTATAATCTAAAATCATATCAAACTCATTATCTAATCAATTTTTCCGCAACCCCATGTTAAATAATTCATCAATCTCTATCATTTTATTGGCCGGAGATCTCACCACCACCGCCGGCTGACTCGGCTTCCGAACCCCACTCCCGTCCTCCTCCGCTGATTTTAGCGGTGGCAATGACGGTTTTATTACACAGGCGAGATCTGCGAAAGCACTGAAGATATGTTTGTGAGTGCTTTTAGGATTGAGGGCGAGGTAGCATAGAAGAAGTTCATGCAAGAATTCCCAGCTTGAGTTCGTCCCCTCCATTTCCTCACGCGCTTCCACCATCTCTTGCATTGACCGTCGAAAGTCCGCATAGGGGTCCGGCGAGTATGTCGGGATCGCGAAGCTGTTGTTGAAGAGCACGTCGCCACCGGAGTCGGAGGAAGATAGTGAAGTTGTGGATACGGGGGCGGTGGTGGTGGTGGTGGATTCTACAATGGAGTTGGAGCGGCCGGGGGAGGAGAAGAAGAAGCGGTGCGAGGTGAAGGCGGTGGTGAAGTCGACGGCGGTGGCGGGGAAGTATGCGTCCAGATCACCGTCGTTGGCGGCAGCGTAAAAGGGTTTGGAGGTGGAATTGTTGTCGAAGGTGGTGGTGCACTCGTAGAGGGAGTTGTAGTTTGTGAGGAAGGCGGTGGCGGAGGCGGAGAACGGGCGGGTTTGACGGTGATCCGCCGTGTGGGAGATGGGAGAAGATTGAGTAGAGAGTGGCTTCTTGATCTTTGTAAAACAGAGATTCAAATAGTTTCTTCCAAGTTTGCTCGGCATTTTTTGGTGTGCTTATGAATTTAAAATGGCAAATGTGAGGAGCTCTCTCTATATATATGTGTTGAGAGAGAGAAAGGAAATGATGATAAAAGGAGGCTAAAACCATATGACGGTAGTTTTTTGTTTTACTGTTAGAACGAATGTATTAATATTTACGAAGTTACATCTTAAAATCAATCGTCTTAGTTTGATTCCAATTTTTTAGATTGGATGTTCGAACTTTTTGAACTGTAATACCATATCAATATTGATGGACTCAATTAGCAAAGGGAAGAGTAATCAACGTCTATTATAAAATTTTATTAGATCTCTTATCTTTTTTGAATCTTAAAGCAACGATTATGAGGTGGTGATTCACATTATTTTCTAACATTAACGATGTTGAAATCAAATTAATTCAAACAAAACGACTATCAATTACCGCTTGATTGGAGATATATGTCAAAGTCAATTACTGCGAAGTTACGTTCGATTTGACATTTTCTATTCCATCCTTTTTTAACTAATTTATCTTATTAGTTATACATATAATTTTTCTCATTAATCTTTCTCTCACTTAACTTTTTCATTAGATTAATTTGTCAATTCTTATTAACATTAATTTTGTATTAATTCTATGAAAATATAGCACTTCTAATAAGATCAAAAGTAATTTTGAAATCAAGTTTATTTTGTTTGTAATGTATTCTTTTTGTATGGAAATCGAAGTGCTTTTGATAAATCACTTATTTCAAACCATTCTTTATATTTAAAATACATCATAGTTTGATAATTCTATTCCAAAATATTGTATTTTTTGTAACCGTGCTTTCATATGATTTTAGGATGCCACGTGAGATGTCATCTTCTAAGAAATTGTTAGTAGTCTCATAGGATTTATATTTTCTTAATCTAAATTCTTAAAATAATAAATGCTTTTGTTATTTAAATTTTAAATATTTTATTTTACTCTTTAAACTTGGCCTAAAAAGCAACTTTAGTCATTGCGATTAACTATCCACTTATCATTTCATACAGAATCTTGCTCCATTTCAAAACATGACACTTAATTTATACTGTGTGCACGATTTCAAACACTTGTTTACATAGACATATACTTATCGAGTAAACGACTAAAATAACATACCACCTCAAATTTCCAAAGATTTACAGTAATGAATGACGAATGGCAATGGTTCAATCGAAGATATTTGAACATAACGTCTCGTAAAAGACTTAATAATTTAAAATCCTCATCATCTTCTAAACAAAGTATCTCCTAATAATTTAGCGAGAATGAGCTATGAGCTCAATACTTCGGTTATATGAAAGAGAAAAAAAGATTTAACAACCAAGACTATAATATTTTTTAAAAGCACAAAAATTTATGTTTTAAAGTAGGAAATTAAAAAAAAATTAGGAGGACTATATCTCAAGTTCATGTTTAATTCATCTTTAATTTTAAAAAGAAAATTAGAGTCAAATTTTAATACAAACACTTTTCCAAAGTTTACGAACTCATTTAATACAAACTTTAAATTTGTAATTTAATTTTTAAATCTAAAAATAAAAAATGGGCATGGGAGTTTGGAAAGTTTTGTAAATTAGTTATTTATGTGGAAAATGTTGACTAAACAGCCTGTGACCGTCAAACCCAACCATTTAATGCCTTTTACAAACTTCTTTCACGCGCCGTGGTAGGCGAATTCACCACGCGCTTTTGTTTCCAATCTTCAGTAGACAAGCAATAGAGTGCACGCGCCATACACGCGTGGGGTAAGTAAAAGTTCAGTGACCCAGTTCTCTGCAATGTTTTGGAATGGAAGCAAGGCGCACATGCAAGACTGGTGGTTTGATGAAGCATCATTTTTTTCCTTCTAAAATTAAAATGAAAAAAGTAATTTTCATTTTTATCTATTTATGTATTTATTATTAAATTAAAAAATACGAACTCTGTGGTTTTATATTGAAGTAACGATTTAGTCGTTATACTTTTCTCAAAAGATGCTTAGCAGAAGTGATGAGGAGAAGTGGTTGTAGAAGTTTTGCTTACAAGTTTAGAACAAAACAATATCCATCTAATTTTTCATTGAATTTTAAAAAGTTGGTAACGTTAGTTCATGAACTTTAATATGTAACAATTTAGTCTTTATTGTAAAACAAATCTAGTTAGAGTTTCTTAAATGTGTGGATTGATGACCTAATGAGTGAGTATACTAAATTGTTATATAATAAGAATTGACACTTAATTCTGATGAGATTTTATTACGGTAGGGATTAAATTGTTTCAATTTTCAAACTACAAAGCCTAAATCGTTATTAAAGTTCAAGTACTAAATTGTTACCAATCTGAAAGTACAATGACTAAATCATTCTAAATTAAAGTTCAGAGAATAAATTTGAAATGATATGGACATGCTATGATGTGGGAGCATCAACTTTGGGCTTTTGAGGAGTGGGAGCGCCGCTTTCTGTGTAGTGTTGTCACACAACAGCATGTTGGATTCAAACTTCTCCTAGAATAGTTTTCGGTGTGAAATGAAATGAAATTTATAGGAGATAATTGAGTAATTCAAATGATATATATAAATATTTGATAAGATTCAATTCATTTTAGTAATAAAGAAAATGTATTTTTAACCTTATTAGTCGCCAATCTAGCATAGTACTTATTTGCAACACTCGAAACATATTTGAGTGCAATCTTCACTATACTAACTCTAACGGTACCAATACATTCGATTGCATACGCTTGCATGTGCATAAAAAAATCATATATAAAGTGTTAAAAGGATATCGGTACTCAAAGTATCTCTACAATGGTATATGATATCATTTGCCTTTGACATAATATCTACGACTTTGTTTTTAGTTTCACTCAAAAAACTTCATCCCAATTCAGATATTTGTTGTCGTTTATATAACATAAATCACTCTTTTCTCTAATCAATATGAGAAATTTGTTTGCACACACCTTGCAACTCCAACATAAAAGTGAGGTACATTTTACACTAATTTCGGTGTTCTATTGAATTTTTCACTCAAACTAGTTATTATCTTGATCGTCGAAATTATTTTGACAGCAATTTCACTAGCATGACCTCAGTGATATCTTAATCTCCCTTTCTTTCATACAAATTACCAAAATACGACGATGGATAGATTCCACCATATATTATATGATTTATAATTCTAGCGGGATACAATTCTAAATCATATTTCTTTTTACCATATTATAGTCCTCTCTTAACTTTTTGTTATTGTCGTCTATGTTTTTTTCATAATTATAAAACAACATGAAGTTGGTTTGAATAAAGAACCTCAAAAACGTATCACTATATATTTTGTGAAAGAAAGTTGAAAAAGAAAAGTAACGACAAAGTTCTTTTTCCTCCTTAAAACAAGGGAATTCTCACATTAGCCATGCCTAGCACATGGGTCCTACCATATTATATATATATTATAATTTATATATATAACTATAACAAATTATATGATGAATTGAATCCAACCCCACATACAATAAATTAAATTCTACCCATTGATCGAGTTTCTCTTTGGTTTTAATTAAAACTTCAACTTGGGCTTAAATCGAGTTTTTTTTTAAGGCTAAATATATGTTTATATTTGTTTCTAGTACAACAAATTAGAAGGATGGAATTCGAACTTCCAACCTCAAGAAAAGGGCATGTGCCAATTACTAATAAATTAAATTAAGGTTGGAAAATATATGTTTATATTTAATGTTTGGGTGTGTTTTTTTTCTTTTAATTTAAAGTTTAGTTTCCTACGTTTTAACGATTTTCAATTGTACCCTCACTTTTAGTAAAGGTTAAAATTGTTAATTATTGATGTTTATATGGCATCATAGTACTTAGTGAGTGAGTAGAAATTTAAATGAGTAATTAGACAATCTAATAGAGGAAAATTACTTAATTCGTCCTCCAAAATTTATAAGAAAATTAGTAAAAAGTTTGGTTTTTCTAACTTTAATTTCTCCTCTAAATTTCTACCACCTCACTATATATCATGCAATAATGTAAGTTTATTATTAACTAATTTAACATTCACAATAGAAATGAAAAGTATGAAAACGAGATTAAATTATTCAAACTATTTTATTCAAAAAAAAAAAATTGTTCAGGCTATTAAAACAATAGAGACTAAATTGATTATAAAAAACATCCAAACATCGTGAACTAAAACATATGTTTAGCCTTTTTGATTTTGTGATTAAAGCTCTAAAATCTTGATAATAACTCAGTTCAATTCAGTAACAAGAATTTTTAGCTAGGACGATGGTTTTTTTCTTTTTCGTCGACAATAACAATCTATTCCAATGGGTCTATGCAATAATTGACAAAAATTTAGTTGGAAATAAAAGTATGTTGTTTACATTGTTGCGAAAATCAAATTTGTTGTAGTGATCATGAGAATCAATGTCAGCACATAATATCTAGTTTAACATATGTCAAAATGAGCATAGCTTAGCGGTAATTGACATATATCTTTAACTAAGAGGTTCTGAGATCGATCCTCAACCCCACTACTCAAAAAATACAATTAATTAACATATCTTTATTATAAAGTTATAATAACCCTACCACATTGTAAAGTTATGTTTGAGAATAATTCATTTTCCTCGTTAGGATGCCTAGTGAGTAGCTTTTAGCTTTAAAATTTTAATCTTGTTTGTCAATCTAAACATAGTATAAGTATGGAGTACTTATGACGATTTCAAAGAACGGTTTTATTTCCATCTAGCAATTTTTTAACCCGAAAAATAGAAAATTTCATTAAATTTAAATCTTAAACTTGAATAGCTTAAGCAACAAATAGACAATTCAAAACTCAATTTCATTATAGTTTTGACCTATTTTTGAAGGGTTTTTTTTTTTTTCATTTAGAATTCATCACATGCGCACTATTTAAATGGAAATATGTAGTTCCAAGGCAAAAAAAATTTAAAAGTTATATACAGTTTGAGGGTAAAAATTACAGCTTCATATTATATAGTTAAAAGACAAATTACAATCTCATCCATGGTTTATGGGCAAAATTGAAAATTTGTATATACTTTTTAACCTACTGTTTCCGACCTGCAATGCTAAACTAATTGAAGTATAGTCAGCATCGATATTTGTTGACATTTCTATCAACATTTCTATATGTTCATAGGTTTGCCATCGACATGAGGTATAATCAACATTTTCATAACATTGCAAAAAATTAAGAGAAAATATAAAAAATATCAAAACGATATTAATATTAATAATTTTTAATTTATTTAAAAGAGTAAAATGTTTATTATTTTATATTTTTATTAATAATTTTTAATTTATTTAAAAGAGTAAAATGTTTATGTTTTATATTTTCATTAATAATTTTTAATTTACTTAAAAAGAGTAAAATGTTCATATTTTTTTGGCATCATACTTTTATCGACATTTCCGTTTTTTAAAATCTTGGTAAACATTTGAAATTCTTATTAAAAATTCATATTAAATAAAAGACAAATAATTATATAATTTAACACAAAAAAAAGAGCAAATCTTCTCTCCAAAATTATAAGGATTGTGTGTTCGTTTTTTCTTCTCTGAAAAAAAAAAGCCACACCACACCTTACAATATTCTATGAAAAAAAAATACAAAAGAATACTTTGCAAAATTATATGCTTGATCAAGAAACAAAATCTCATAATGTATTTGCTTCAATCCAAATATATTATGATAAATTATCTAAAAAAACCTTAAAAAAGAAGGATGTTTTGCAATAAAAAATGGTAATCATCTCATGAATATCAAAGAAAAACAAAATCTCATATTGTATTTCCTTAAATAAATAACGAGTTATAATGAATCTGCTAAAAATCTTTTAAAATACTACTTGAAAAAATTGCAATCTATCTTTTAATTAATTTTGAAACATATTAAATTATAAGTTTGATCCCTATTTTAGATTTTAAATTAAGTTTATCAGTGCTAACATGACATCCATTATGGACGAAATGTAACATGATGATCTAGCACCCACTTGAACAAATTACTTTATGAAATAATGAATATAATTAAAGGTTGAATAATTAGATTTAATTAGGATGAAATATTTAGTCGAGGAGATTAAAATTATAATTAAAATGTAATTGGTTGGTTTCTGCTCCTTTATCAAAATTCATAATTGATCCATGCTAACAAGTAGCACATATAAACATCAATGTTATTTCAATTTAGTCCCTAATATTTTAACATTTTTCAACTATATCCTTCAAATCGAAAAATTTTAAAAATTGGCTATATAAAAACATATACAATTAACAATATACTTAGTGAGTAGGAATTAAGTCGAAGAAAAATCAAAATTTCTGCCAAGAATTAAAAAAAATTTCTCTCGTAGATGTCCCTAGTTTACTTTATGAATTTCTACGAAATTATAATGAAGTATTATCGCATGTAAGTTTACCATCGACCAATTCTAACATTCCTTATCGATGAGAAGTTTAATTAAATTAAACATTAGTGACTAATTAAATTGAAGATTTCATATATCGGAGAATGAAAACAAAGCACAAGAAGTTTCCAAGGAAGCAGAGATATATAGAACTTTGGCATATATAAAGGAAGTTAATATTATTGTATATTTGAAGATCTTAGATGTTAGCTGTAGGCCTTTGTTTTTTAATTTTAATTATTGGGAACACAACAACAAATCTCTGCAGATATATAGTTGTATAAATCATACTCTCCAACTTGTCCTTTGAATTTGAATGAATCTTCAAAAAGCTTCCAATTGTGTACTTAATTATTTGTACTTTTAATTTCCATTTCCAATAACACTCACTCTACTTTCTCTACCATTATTGGTTTAATATCCTTATCTATTAGTTGTATATAGATTTATTTTTACTACATAAATCTCGATTTTGGTCGAATATATCATTGTACTATGATATCGTAATTAAACTCTATCGAGAATTAAGTTTAGTTGCAATTTTGAATTACAAGAGGAAAGATATTTCCTAATCGTTAGCTGCCTTGAGGTATTTTTTTTCAACGGTTGGAGTATTTTTTTCAATGGTTTATGCAAACAAAAATTGTGTCGATTTTTTGCTCATAATTGAACGATTTATGAATCATTATTAGGTTTACAACAAAACTGTAACAGATGTCAGCTTAAATTGAAATAAATTATATGGAAGTACCTCTAAACCGTTCTTACCTCAATCATTTGTCATTTTGGATTAAAAAGATGTGAAACTATCTCTCTATAAGAACGGTGCATGTACTGATCTGACCTTATTCACTAATTTATCATTTTATCATTTTGGATTAAGAAAATGTGGAAGTGCCTCTTTACAAGAAGAATACATTTCCTATCCTTACCTTATTCATTTATAATTTCGAGTTAAAAATATGTAAAAGTACTTCGAGACGTGAAAGTGCTTCGAGTTGTTGGAACCAACCTGATCGTAACAATAAACACTAGTAATAAAATCCTCGCAAAAATCTAGCTTATGGATCTCCTCTAAGGTTAGCCCATTTGGACCAATTTGGCCCATAACCCAAATTCATATATATCTCTAATCCAAGCCATACCAATAGTAAACATCGGAGAAAATCTTTTTTTTTTTAGGATTATTATTGATCAGCTATTTAGAAATCATAATTAGAAATGTATAGGATTTACATTTTTATCCTAAAAAACCCTAATTAGGATGGTATTCATCACAAAAATTACTAGTATATCCTGGTTATAATATTAAATAATTTTTAAAATCACAAATTTGTAAATCGAAGTTTACGATTCAAATCCCTCTCTTAAAATTTGCTTAATAGTACCCCGAAAAGTAAAAAGATACCCAAACCAAAAAAATCTCCAAAATACCCATTTTCGAAAAATTTGAAACTCGTTCGTCCGACTCTTCTGCTTCCTCTGTTGTTGTCTGGGTGCCTCCTTCTCCCGTCGTCGTATCTGTTCTTCTTATCCCGTCGTCATTTCCATTATTCTTATTAAAAACTCGTCGTTTTTGTCCGCTCCTTCCTCTTCGATCGTCGTTCCTTCATCTTCGATCCCCCTCCATTGCCAGAACAGTTCATCTCCGCTTATCCCGATCGAAACATTTACATTCCAATATATCTTTAATAGTTTTCTCTTTTAGATTTGTACAATGTTGAATACTTTTTTTTATCTATTGTTAAACCCTTTCAATGTTCTTTCCATGTCCTAGTCTCCAACAGTTGTTTTCGAATTCTGATTTCGTGTGGATTGTATATATGGGAATATAAGGAAGTTTATATATAATTTAGATTATACACGTATATACACGACGAGGAGACATTAGTAAAAATCTATACCTGTTGAATAAGAAAATCGAAAATTAAAAAGAGAGAGAATGATTTAGATATTTTTATAATTAATAATATTGATAAATCGAAAGAATTTACTATTTTGAGGAGTGTTAAAAATTTATATAAGACCCACTAATAATAATTTATGAAATTAAGTCTTTTATATTTAAAAAAACCAAATCACTAAAAATATGGTAGAATTAAATGTTTTATATTTCTTGTAAATACAATAAATAGGAATAAAATCAAAACTAAAATAAAATCCTAGCTACAGTGTAAATAAATTTCTAAAACTGTCCATTTCTAAAGCTGTCACGTGAAAACATTATCCACGGTTCTTTTAACTTTTGTCTCTCCTATACCTGAGATTAACCTTTTTTTTTTCTCCTATACCTGAGATTAATCATCCGTACTGTATCCTCGTACGCATACATACACACCAGATCATTACTTACTTTAAAAACTTCCCTTCAGTACAATATTGGGAAAAACTCGTTAGAAGTACTTTCTAAAGAAAGGAAAAAAAAGCACTTTATGTAATATCTTAACATATATTACATATCTTCGTCCTCTTTCAACTCCCAAAAACTCATCCCAACAACTGATAATATATAATATATACATGCATATAGAACCAACACAAAAAACACTATACACACAAGAACGTAACCAAAGCATCCATCGTATGACCCCAATTTGCAAGCTACCCCTGTTGGTTAAGCCTGGCCGCCGCTGCCATTGACGCTGCCACTCCTCCCGGCGTGGTCGCCATCGTCGGGTCATTCCTCATCTCCGCACTTATCACCCTTTCCGCATCTTCCTTCGTCACCGTCTTGTCTCCTGGTAGCTTCGCAATGGCATCCTAATCACAACAATAATCACATTGGTTCGTTTATTTTAATTTTTTTTTTTTTTTTGTACCTTCAAGATGTTGTCCTAACCCTTTGAAAAAAAGGATAGTTTTAGTTTATTATATGTCCTCAATATTAATTTCAATTTTGATTATATATAAACTCTTAATGAAATGTAGGCCTATAACTTTAAATTTATTTAATTTTAAAGGAGAAATTAAAATAGTCACTTGAAGAACCAAAATAATAAACAATAATTCGGCAGTGAAGAATTAAGATATTGAACAAACAAGAGAATGTTATGTTATATTTACCGATAAAACATCGCCGAGTGTTGTCTTGTCCTCGTCGCGCATGGTTCGAGTGTTGAGTGTGGCGGCGGACTGAGCCTCCGCCCCGACACCGCCCGGTACTATAGCGTCTTTTCCGGTGGCCCTCACCTCGGCAGCTTGAATTGCAGCCGCGTCGCTTTGGTCGATCGGCTTGTCTCCGGCACCGACTGCACTTGCTTCTAGAGCTTCTCCGATGGTGATTGAACCAGGGTCAAGAGCTGCTCCCGGAGCCCTCATCGGAACGTCTGGTTGAACATATCGTCCCACAACCTATAAATATAATGAATCAATAAATTAAACTTCATGAAAATCACCAATAATATGTAACTTAACTTCTAAGTTTGAATTTCATTTGCTTGAAAAACCAAAATGAAATAAGAAAGAAAAGTTGAAAGCCCATTATGTTTTTAAAAAATTATTTTTAAATTTCCTATCTTCATTGTCAAAGATTAAAGGGTAAATTAACCAACTATAAGTTCAAAAAAAAAAATCAGCTGTCCATTTTTCTCTATATGAAAATAACAAGGATGAATAAACTATAATCAACCGTCCATTTTTCTCTGTGAAAATAACTATCCATTTTTCTCTCTATGTAAATAATTATTGATAAGGATAAATAAATGACCATTCAACTCAACTTAAAATCAACCGATGTTAGAAAATAATTATAGTCAAAGAAACTATTGTTAAGGATAAATAAAGGACCATTCAACTCAACTTTAAAGCTAAACTTTACCTGACCACCGACCGACTCGACGACGACTCGCTGGCCATCGACGACTGCTTCGGTGACATTGACGCCTTGGTGCCGAGCAGCATCGGAAGCCTCGAAGTGGCCAACGACGCCAGCACGTTCGTTGATGGTGGCAGCAGACTGCATGACGGCGGCGGGGCCGCCACGCTGAGTCTGGCCAAGGACCATATTCTCGGCGGCCTGCATGGTGGCCGCATCTCTGGGGGCGATGGGTTCTGAAGCCAAGTCGCCGGAGACGTCGAAAACGTCGCCGTACTTGATGGGATCCACGTAATCGCCGGCGGGTCTCCGTGGCTGTCCCTGGCTCATCTTTCAAATATAATTTCTCTTCTAATGGTTCTGTTCTGGGTTACAATTTTGTTGGAGTGTAATAATTTGGAGTTGTATATATATATAACGAAATAATTATTTTTACAGGTGTTGAGAGCAGAATTATTAATTGACATGTGGACATGGAAATGGCAGCATCGTTAACTGACACTTGGAAATCAATGTCGGCCAAAATTTTATCACAATTTCAATCTATAAAATTCTCAAAATGTAATCCTAACATTGGATTAAAGAATTCTACTGGGTATAAATTAAATTTGTGTTAAAAAATTTTGTAAATACCAATTAAGGTTCATTGATTCAAACCTGATAATAATTACCTACTTTATTAATTAATTTCCATGTATGATACTAAATTTTTTAAAATTAATTAGTTCGTTAATCTGTGAGATTAGTTTTTAAACCAAAAAAAATCACGAGAATTCATAAAAACAAAAATAAATAAATAATAAGTTTACCACTCATGTAAAGTTTTTTTTAGGTACAAAATAGAAGGTCGAAAATCGAACTCATAACCGCCTCTTTAAGATATATGTCAATTTTGAGTTATGATCTGTTGGAGTAAACATAACTATTATTTTTTTAATAATTATTTATTTTTTAGTAAACATAACGTTAAAATTAAAAGTTCAAAACAAACAAAATTTTGTCAAAGCAGACATAATTTAGTCATAATTAGCATATATTTTCAATCAAAAGGTCGTGAGTTCAAATTTCCCAACATTTTTGTCAAAAAAAAAAAAAAAAACAAACAAAATTTTAATTTAACCATTCATTTTATATATAATTTTGATTAGACCAAAGTTTGTTGTACAATATGATTTAGGTCAATTTGGACCATATTTAGGCTGGTCTCTTGGGCTTTAGTTCAAAGTCTTCTTACCTTTTTATCTTATCCAGTTTAGTTAAAAGGCTAAATATACTGGTAGTCTTCAATCTATGAGCTTTCTTTTTTTCAATTTAGTCCTTGATGTTTTGGAATTCTCAAATTTACCTTCAATATATTAAAAATTTTCAATTAGGTCCTTACTTAAAATTATTCTTAAAATTTGTTAACAAAAAGCTAATGTTTTGAATTCACAACCTCTCGAAGATATATGTCAATTTACTGTTGACACAGGCATACACATTATATGAACATTTCAAATGACAAAATAAAAATGAATTTTTTAATCAATGCATCGATTTTAAGTTTGGACGAGTTGAATTTTATGTGTCAAATAATATGGAACAAGATGTGTTCACATGTCTAAATACTAGCTCTTTCGTTAACAAATTGTGGAAGGATATAAATTGGAATTTCTAATACATTAAAAGTAAAATTAAAAGGTTGAAAAAAGTTTAGGACCAAATTGAGAATGGTATAAAAGACTATGAAACATCTTGTATATATTTAGATCAGTTAAATAATAAGTCTAGTTCATGTATTCAAAATATAAATAAATAAGAAAATTCTAGTTCACGATATTTATATTTTTTTTAAAATGGTGTCTATTATAGATTTTTTTCAATACAACATATGAGGTCGGGAATCAAACTCACAATCTCTTGGTTGGAGATATATGACAATGACGATTAAACTATGTTCGTTTTGAGTAAACATAATTTTTTTTAAGTGAATGCAATCTTAAATTTGAAAAATCAAAATTTTAATTTAACCATTCATTTTATATATAATTTGATTTAAAACTTTAAAGACTTTGCAGTAATGTTACAGTAGTGGGTTGACATTGCATTAAATTAAGCCATTTAACTTTGTTTTTATTAAAAATTAGAAGGAAAAAAATATACAACTTAAACTCTTATTTTTTAATAAACATAACTCTTTTTAAGTTTAACAAATTTATTGAGAGAAAAGATTAGAATGTACAAAATAATAATTAGTTGAAAATACCAATCAAACAAGTTTTAATAATAAAAGAGAATTGGTAATAAAGTAGAAAATCACGCATGAAACTAGAGGTTATAATCTTTCTAACATGACACAACAAGATCATAAAATATCTCACTTAAGAATTAGTAATTCTTATGTGTTTTCCGACGCCAAATATTATAGGGTCATATGGTTGTCTCATGAGATTAGTCAAGGTGTGCGTAAGTTAACCCGGACACTCACGAATATCTAAAAAAAAATGATGAAGGTAAGTGAACATTTATTCTGCGTCTAAGAGATTGTGTCGTGATAAGCAAGCAATGTAATTACGATAAAGTCAATGGAGCGATTTACGAGAAGTGGAGACAAATAACCACCATATCATAAGTAAAAGAATCTCTTAAAATGTACTAACGTTCAATCATGTTCCAAATCACATCACATCGACTTGGTGTAATAAGCTATCGCTAGTACTTGATATCAACTTAAAATTTGATTCCATCTTAGAACTATCGTGACCATAAAATAAAGTGAAATCTACCTAATAAACAACTATATTGGACCTAATAATAAAATTTGGAAACGAAGAATTAACACTTCCAAAATTAACAATGTCAAGTTTTACCAATTTTGCAAATTATTTATTATGACGTAAATGAAAAGCGAAAAATGAACCAACCAGTTGCAAGTTTGCAACAAATTTGCATCCCAAGAGTCGATGAGCATATGAAAAGTGTCATAAATTTTTTTATGAACTTTTTTTTTTTTTAAATCATAAATTTTATCATTCAACTTTTAGAATCATGTCTAAAATATTCTTAAAATTTTCAATATTTTATCTAATAGCTTTTTAAAAGTATTTAGTGACCAAAATTTTTAAATGTCAAGATATCAAATTTATAGAAATATGATAAAATTATTATCGATATTGACAGATATTTCTTAAAAAATTACAAATATTTCAATTCAAAAATAACATTTTACAAATTTTAAATAAATTAAAAATTATTATTATATTATGTCCACCTTATAAATACTTTGTTGGTATTTTTTTTTTATATTTTGTCACTTTTTTGCAATACTACATAAATTTTGATTCAACTCTTATGTTAATGTCAAGCCTACAGACCTATAAATATTGAAAGGAATTTAATATCTTGATAGGGATCAAACTAAACACTTTCTAAAGCTTAATTATATGAATCTTTGCGATACAAAACTACTAGTTTAAGAATCTATTAAGTAAACTATTAAAAGTTCAACCACGTGTTATAAACACTTTGTAAAGTTAAGTATTAGACACATAATAAAATTTATTATTATTATTATTATTATTATTATTATTATTATTATTATTATTATTATTATTCAATAGCAAAGCATTTGTGTAAGAAGATTTATACTAGATCCAAAAAAATAAGATTTAATTCTTCATTCGAAACCAAATCTCTCAAAGTAAAAACTCACACAAAATCTTTCATGGAATTCTAAAATGATTGAGGAAAAAAGAAAAAGAACCCTTAAAATGCAAGCAACAATAATTAAAGTCCAAAAGCACATTTAATCATATAGTTTTATTTTCTTTTTCAACTTTCCTAGAAATTATTAAACAAAATCAAGCCACGTGGCTATGTTATTCTCTCTTCTTTTTATACAAACTCCCCATTATTTATTTTTTAGTTATTTTTTTTTCTTTTTATTACTTTATTTTTTGTTGGCATTTTTTAGGCCATGTTTGGAATTACAATTTTCAAACATAGATAGGGATGGTATCCCCTTTGGCGTGCAAAACTCAAGCCAGACGTTTCCTTTTCACAGCTTTTTCACCTTTACTTGTTTTTCTTTTTTCTTTTTGTCAAAATTAATTTCGATATGTTTTTTCATACATTAAATTATAAATTTAATTTATGATTTAGTTTCGAATTAAGTTTCTAAAACTTTGAGTTATGATTTTTTAATAATCTTCGTCATTAATACTATTAATGATATGACATGTCTAGTACTAGAGAGATAGTAAAGAAAAATAAAATAGTTAAAGATACATGTCTAATGATTTGAATGATTGCATCACATAGATGGTAAAGAAAAAAAAGATACATGTCTAATGATTTGGATTACTGTAATAGATAGATGGTAAATAAAAAATAATAATTAAAGTGCATATCAGTAACATTTTTGTTTCTTGTTTTTCTTCAAGAAAAAAAATATTGTATTTGGTAACTGTTTCTTATTCTTTATTTTTTTTATTTAAAAATAAGCAGAAACAGTTGATGATCATTTTTTGTCTCTTCTTCTATAAAATTTTAAATTTAAAAAGTAAAAATTTTATATCAAATTTAATTTTTTGTGGTATATTTAATTTTTTATCTTTATTATGCCCTTTATAAATAAAAAATGATAAAATAATAATTTTATCCATCTTTTGGAAAAACAAACAAACTATAAATAGAGATGAGAAAAAGAGAAACTTTATCGGGTCGTTTGTATAATTTTAGGAAAGTTAATCTAAAATAAAAAATAAGAAACAAGAACAATTATAAAAAAAAATGCTTATATTGCTAAAAAGTTAGAAACAGAAAACAATAAACCCGCGGTTTACCAAACGAGATCTAAACTTTCCTAATATAGGATTTATGAACTTTTAAATATTTTTTTTGTCTAATAATTCAGTAAATGTTAAAAAGTATCTAATAAGTTGCGGACTTAATTTGACAGAAAAATAAAGATAAGACCTGAACTTATGAAGAAATACACAGAATTGAAAGTTTAAGGATTTAATTAATAAATATTTTTGAAATTTTAGAGACCTGAACTTATGAAGAAATACATAACTTAGTAATTTAACCAAAAAAAAGGATAATCGGAGAAAGAGAGTGATTCTTTGTTCGGTAATATTACCCTTTTGTCCTTTGCAAAAAAAAATATTACCCTTTTGTAGAATTAATTTCATTGCACACTCTCCATCTATGATTAATTTGTTTGGCATTTTGCATTTTTGTTAAGTGTTTTTCATCATCTTGTGCTTAAAGGATGACCTAATACTTTAGGGATTCAACCTTGAATTGTTTTCTCATTATAGCTTTATACCTACTTTTAGGTTTA